CGTCACGGCAGCGCATACACGTTGGAACTTCCTTCCGACATGAGACTACACCCAACGTTCAGCTTGAAGCCATACGTGCAGCCCGGGTCATCTAGTCGTGACGACACGCCGACGCCGACGCCGACGCGCGGCGCGTCCTCAGCTTCTCCTCAAGCCGCTTCACCTTCTCCTGGAGAAGGCGAACTTGTTCCAACACCTCAACACGGATGTTTGAGGTGGTCTGAGCGGCTTCGGCCACGTAGGCATTCTGCAAGTTCAGCTGTTGCCTCAAATCAGCGCTCTCAGAAGCCTGAACCGTCGCAAGAGCCTCCACGCGGGCGTGGAGCGCCTGAAGCCCGTGGTTAACCCGGGGTTGGCCATATGATGTGCGTCCAGCACTGCGGACAGAAGCATAACTCTGTCCGCGGTACGATCCACCGCGAGGTGGATCGGATTGTTGACCATACCAGTCCGAAGACAAACCGAGGTCCGGTTCGTTTTCGACAATCGGATCTCCTTCGAGATACGTGGTTTCCACGAAACGTCCTGATGGCGGACGTTCCGGAAATGGTGAAGGCGTATGAAGCCCACCACGGACTGGAGGCGTAACACTGCGGGGTGCAGTGTTACGCGGGATGTTGTGCTCAGGCACAACACTAGGATGCTGACGCGTGCAAGCAAGCTTAGCACGTAGCTCCTTAACATTTGCAGGTACACGGTTAGTCGTGTACCCGGTGAGGTCTCTCTCACTGATGCGGGGAGCACCAGCGAGGCAGTGCGGGCAATTAACGCCCTCCGGCACTGCACAAGGAATATTCGCGTTCACGGAACCTTGGTGAACGCGCTGGACGACAGAAGTAATCGAATACTTCATGAAACGCTCACGAGCGGAAGCAATCCGCTCGCGATAAGCTGCCGGACCATTGTTGAAGTTTGCAACAAACTGATTCCAGCTCTGACAGAGTGCCTGCCACTCGGGCACTCTGCTTCCCCCTGAAGTCTTCTTGGAGCTCCAGTACCGGACGTCGTGAAAGATGGAGATATAGTAGTCTCGCCTCTGCTTCGTCGTCGGCTCGAAGTGCTTCGAGGCAGCTTCCACGTGTTACTAATACCGAAATACATGTGTTTTATAGCCTATAAATTATAGGCTTCTAATCGGAAACAATTGTATATCCACGTGTGGGTGGTGAAATTATAAAATATAGCTTACAAA